TTTAGTTTCATAATCATTAGTAAGTTTCATGCATACTTCCTGTGCTTTAGACTGGCAAGCTTTCTCTACTCTCTGTCTCCACTTGGCTTCTATTATACTATGCCATGCAGACCATACTTTAGACATTATCTGGTGGTGGTGGTGTTTCCGAGCTAAACAGCTTGCAAACGCCTGAAATTAAAAGAAATTAAAGATGATTCACTTCTCCAACAGAAATGGACATGCTGGTGAATCAAAAATATACAGTTGTTGATCATGACACAAGTTTTGCAAGCTTATACTGTCAACCACCATATTGTTTTGAGCACCAAAACAGCAACATTTCCAGCTAAGTTTGCTGACTGGTTTACTATGCATATCTCAATATCGTTAGAGTCAAACCCACCACAACAGGAATCGTCAAACTACTAGTATTACTGTGGAAAACATTGAATATCAATAGAAAATTCCTTTCAATTTATTTCATCCAATCATAAGTTTGAATTTTAATGATCCAGCATGCTAATTTTTGGTTTATGTATACTCAAAGAATTTCTAATAGATATTATGTACCGGTAATGTATGAGGAATATTTAGAATTCCAAAAGACAGTTTATCGAATTCCACTCTTTTTTCGTTTCTGTCCCTGTTTCTTACGGACCGACTCATCAGTCCAATGCAATGTGACAGGCCCCAGTGTCCCTTGTCACGCAAAGATGAGTATAAATGTCACCAAAATGTCACAGAAGTACAAGCTGACATATGGCAAAAATACAGTTTAAAATATCCTTACTTCACGTCTGTCATCACAGTGTCTCAGTTTCCATGAGTGAAATTTCTTCAGCATTTCAAACCTCTCCCTCTGTTTCTGCATCGCATGGGTAAGATTAGAAATCACTTGGTTTTTTCTTTCTATTGACTGTTCATACGTGTGTAGCAGCTCTTTTAGACTTTCTATCTCATTGTGCATCCCGTGGATTTCCTTAGCATGCCTGAAATCAAAATGTTTTGTTAAAACTTATCCAAAGAAACAGAAGCAAGTACAGCACATGACAGGTTATTAGCGAGTGGAAGCTAACTCGTAAAAACTGGAAATTCTTGATATTCAAATGAAAATTTGTAGTATATAAACTCGTTTTCATGAAAAGAATGGTTTTGTGATTTCCCAAAATACTTTGGCAGTTATTCTTTATTGAAAAATTAGCATAAAATTTAACAAAATTTCATAAAATTCTTGTACCAAAAGTTGTTAGCCACAACCATTCTTAAAGTCGTGAAAGTTATAATTTAATATGAAAGTAGATTTCATGACAATATAGTCTGATTGCACATCATTGAAACCTATAAATGGTCTATTATGATTCTAAGGTTAAAAAGTTATTTCTGAAAAAAACCATGAAACATACATATATTTCATAATACTATGATAAACTAACCTTTCTTTTTCACCTCTGAGTTGGTTTCGATGTCTCTCCACAAGTCCTATCTTAGCCTGCGCGAACTCCGCCTGGAATAATGAAAAAAACATCAGAACAGAAATCTTGTACATCAAAGGCTTGAACTTCGTAGTTAAGAGTGTTTGCCCATATATGAAGACCAAAAATTGATAAAATTGTCCTGGTGTTTTAAATAAGGTACTGTAAAACATGTTGAAAAAGCGGCAAGCAATTTTAGCGAATTGCGGTAAAATGGCGTAATAGAGAAATGTTGATTTAGCGAATCTCTCTTGTCATTGTTGATTTCTTTGTTTGGCAGCCATTTTGAATTTATAATAAAGTCATTAGCGACATCTTGAATTAGCGAATCAGTTCTCGCGCTAAATTCGCAAAAAAGACATGCTCGCTAAAAAGACATGTTTTACAGTATACTGAGTATTACTTACTAGTACATCCCTCTTGAGATCCAGACACCAGTTGTCTAACTGAGCTTCCATTCTGACCACATCGCCATCCACGACTGGCGACTCAGGAATACTGAGACTAGATTGATCACTGTCGGTGGACGACTCCGGAGTGTCTGGAGATGCAGGAAAGTTGTTCGCACCAGGAAAGGCATGCATTGGTGTCATTTGAACTGTACAGATGATAACACAGACATGAGTGGAGGTGTTCTCAGATGCAGATATGCAGATCTTCACACAGTAATGTACAAATAGCAACATCAAAATGCCAAAACAGACAAACATACTATCACATGATTGAAAAGAGCATTGTACCTAAACTATTAACAGCAATGTTAGTTTTTCTAGGTAGGCAGAGCAACAGACTCAAATTTAGTTAAAAAAAGCAACAAATAAAAATCCAATATTGGGCTAAAAATTAAATATGCATGCATTACACAATGTAATTTTAACCTTTTCGCCACTAGACTTTCTTGATCAAAATTTGTCTGCACTTTTTTCTTATGATTCCTAAATATTTTTGGAAATATA